ACTGCTGACTTTGAGGTTTGCAGTCCCATTCGTAACTATTCCGCTACCAGAGCTCCTTTGTTAACAAGGGTGGGTTAAGATAAAATCATTGTCTTTTGTTTGTAATGTAATTAGTTGCAGCCATTGATAATTCTCCCCCTTTTCTAATGAAGAAATGCTCAACAATCCTATAAGTCATACAAGTGCTTTAGTGAGATTTTTCTGTTACATTTTTTGTTTTTGTACTGTAGTATATGCACTTGACCACAAGGTCAGTTTGAACCCCAAGGTTGGTGGTTTAAACTGACCAGCTGCTCCTCGTAAACCTTATACAGGGTCATTGAGTCAGAACCAACTCCATGGCACTTAACAACTTAACAAAAACACTGGGTTCTAGAGTCCTGGTGTGGCACTGTAGGATTAGCAGTGGACTGTTAACCACAAGGTTTGCGGTTCAAACCCACCTTGGAAACTCTATACAGAGTTGCTATGAGTCAGAACTGACTTGACAGCGCTTAATAAAAACAACAACACTTGTTGTTGTCAAGTGCCATTGAGTCAATTCCAAACCATAGTGACTCTGTATAGAGTTTCCAAGGAGCAGCTAGTGAGCTTCAACCATCAATCTTGCAGTTCAAACGACTTTGCAGTCTGACACATTAGCCCACTGCACCACACCACAACAACGGGAGGTTCAAGTTAATTAGCCTAGAATAAGACTTAAATTAGCAGGTGAAGGGAATAATTCTTGCTTTATACAGCTTGAAGTCCATTAGCATTATTCTTAAGAAAGGAAGAAAATTTGAATATTAGGGTCTGGAGGGGATAATAAATAATCTACTTCAATCTATTATTTACTTCTACTTCTTTCATTTCTTTTAAGAAGAGGAATCTAAAGACAAAGGAGTCATCACTACACCCTTGATATGCATCCATGACACAATAGGTATGTTGGTTCATATATTACTGTTTTGTTTGTTGGTGGATTTTAACCAAAAAAGAATGATTGCCTCTTAACACATCCAAGAGTGTGTTTTTTAAAGTTATGCTTTGGGTATGCAGCCCCAACTTGGATTTAAAAACTATTTCTTAAATACTTAATTATCTTACCTAATGCAATATATTATTTGATCTCTTGACTGCTGCTTCCATGAGTGTTATAGTAGAGCCAAGGAAAATTACATCTTTGACAACTTCAATCTTTTGTCCATTTATCATGATGTTATTTATTGGTCCCGTTGTGAGGATTTTTGTTTTCTTTATATTGAGGTGCAATCCATACTGAAAACTGTGGTCTTTGATCTTCATCAGTAAGTATTTAAGTCAGTAAGGTTGTATCATCTGCATATTGCAGATTGTTAACGCGCCTTCCTTCCATCCTGTTGCCACACTTTTCTTCATATAATCTAGTATATCAGATTATGGGCTCAGTGCACAGACTGAATAAGTATGGTGAAAAAATACAACCCTGGCACATACCTTTCCTAATTTTAAATTATTCGGTGTCCTCTTGTTCTATTCGAAGGACTGGCTCTTGGTCTATGTATAGGTTCCTCATGAGCACAATTAAGTATTCTGGAATACTCATTCTCTGCAATGTTGTCCATAGTTTATCATGAGCCATACAGTTGAAACCTTTTGCACAGTCAATAAAGCACAAGGTAAACATTTTTCTGGTTTTCTCTGTTCATCCAAGACCCATCTGACATCAGCAATGATATCCCTCATTTCACATCCTTGTCTGAATCTGGCTTGAACTTCTAGCAGCAGTTCCCTGTCAGTATATTGCTGCAGCCATTTAAAAATGATCTCCAGCAAATGATATTGTTTTATGGTTTCTGCATTCCATTAGATTACCTCTCATTGGAATGGGCACAAAAGGAGTCTGGTAACGTAGTGATTACAAGTCGGGCTGCTAACCCCAAGGTCAGCAGTTTGAAACTATCAGCTGTTCTGTGGGAGAAAGATAACACTTTCTGCTCCCATAAAGATTTACAGCCTCATAAATCCTATACAGTAGTCCTGGTATGGTGCTGTGGATTAATGCACTAGACTGCAAAGTCTGTTTGATCCTCAAGGTTGGTGGTTCAAGCTCACCAGCTGCTCCTCAGAAACCCTATACAGGGTCGCTATGAGCCAGAACTGAGTCAGCAGCACTTAACAACAACAACAACCCCCATACAGGGTTGCTATGAGTCGTTCCGGACTCCAAGGTACATAACCACCACCACCACCATGGGCACGAACAAGGAAGGCAGGATGACTCTAAAACTAGGGTAAGTATTGAAAGAAAGGGATGTATTTCAGTATAGGAAATGCCCGAGGCTTGCTGGAGGATGACAAACCAATCATAGATAGCACTTTTGTGAAAGATACTACTGGAGCTGGTGACTTGGTATGCTTTAAGGGGCTCTGACCTCAAGGCTCTGCTCTGTTGAGTCCAGTGAGATAGAGGCAGCCTAATATGCTGGTTTTCACAGGTCTTGACTGAGAAGAGTCTGGATGGAGGTTCTGGTTCTGCACTGTGCACCATTTCACTGACTCATTTTCCTCTTTTGAAAAATTGAGATAACGGTTTTACCAGACTTTAGTGGTGATGAGTGGATGGAGCAAACTTGACGCTTTGGGTCCATCCAGAAGTGCCTTGAAAGAAAGCACTCATGGGTCTTCATGAGTCACAGTCAACTCAACCACAACTGGTAAATTGGAAGAGTTAAATGTGTCCAGGACTCCTGGTGTGGCACTGTACAATCAGCACTAGACTGCAAACCACAAGACCAGCTTCAAACCCACCAGCTGCTTCCTGGAAATCCTATACAGGGACACTATGAGTCGGAACCAACTCGATGGCACTTCACAACAACAACAATATGAGTCCTAGAGTCATGGTGTGGCATTGTGGGATAAAGTTGTTGTTGTTGTTGTTGTTAAGTGCCATCAAGTCGGGTCCGACCCATAGCGACCCTGTACAGTACTGGACTGCAAAGTCAGTGGGAATCATTCAGTTGGCAGTTCAAACTCACCAGTCGCTCCTCAGAAACCCTGTACAGAGTCACTGTGAGTCGGAACCAACTTGATGGCAGTTCACAACAACAAATAGGTAGAATGTACACAGAAAACACAGCGTCTAGCACATAGTTGTTTTTAGCTTCCCCTGACTCATGATGACCCCGTGCACAATGGGATCAGACTGTTGAACACCTAGAGTACACTGACTGGTTTTCAGAAGTAGATGGCTAGGCTTACTCTGGAAGTTCCATTGAAACCTGTTCAGCAGCATAGGGAGACACAAGCTGCCACTGAGGCAGGGATGGTGACTGTGAACCATGTACTTGGAACCCAAGGAAGACCAGAATTCTCACCGTGAACCTTCATTTCCTTCTAGCATATTGTTGTCGTTGTGAAGTGCCATTGAGCCAATTCCAACCCATAGCCACCCTGTATAGCGTTTCCAAGGAGTAGCTGGTGAGCTTGAACCACCAACCTTGCAGTTCAAACGACTTTGCAGTCTGATGCATTAGCCCACAATGCCACACCAGGATATAGTAGGCCCTCAATAAATGATATTATCTCCACCAAAAGTGCCCTCCTCTCAGGGTGACCACTTTCTCAGCCCATCCCATCTCACTTCCACAGGACTTGGTAGCAACAAGCAAAATATTGTGAAAAGGACACTTTGAAAAGTACAGTGTTCTATACTCAAGTATAGGGTATTTTTGTGGTTAAATGTACTGGAGTCTACATGTTTGGGATTGACATAGGGAAGAGACTGTGGATTCACTCTTCGGAAAATATAAACTAATAAAATATTCTTGATCATTAATAACAATGGCAGTCGTTTAAAATTGAACTTCCTAGAGTTAGGAGCCCTAGAGTGGCCCTGTGAGTTAATGCGCAGGACTGCAAAGTCAGTTTGAATCTCAAGGCTGGCAGTTCAAGCTCACCAGCTGCTTCTAGGAAACACTATACAGGGTAGCTATGGGTCGGAACCGACTTGAAGGCACTTAACAGCAACAACACAGAGTTTTAGCTTAGAAACAGAACTTTCTGAGGCATGGGACCCTATACTGAGCCTTCTGAGAAAATCACCTACTTCAAACTAACTTTTACACCCACCATGAGGTTCTAATTGGATCGGAGACAGATGGGGTGGCCTAAAAATGGGGAGAACAGGTTTTTTCAGGAGGATGTGAGAAGAGGGTTTGCCTGCTGACAAAAGGCAGCGATTAGGGAGGCAAGGCAATTAATCAATCGGTCGCTTAAATCCTACTGCCAAGCCCAGTGAGGAATAATAGATTCTTTGGCGGCTAGGCGGTGAAACCGCCGGGTCCCTAGAGAAAAAAGGGAGAGGCGGGGCCTGATCTCCCGGATGCCCCCTTTGGCTTCCTGAGTGTGCGGAACCGCCAGAACGTGCAGGAGCTGGCGTCCGGGGAGGCGTGGGGCGTGCCGGGCGAGTCCCCGCTTGTAGTGGCGCCCTCGGAGCCCCTGGTCCCGGGGCAGGTGGAGCAGGTTCGCATCTCCGGGATCTGGGTGGGGAAGCCGGGGGCGCGCCGGGTCCCTAGAGAAAAAAGGGAGAGGCGGGGCCTGATCTCCCGGATGCCCCCTTTGGCTTCCTGAGTGTGCGGAACCGCCAGAACGTGCAG